GGTATCTGGGCCTGAGGACCTCTGGTGTAATTCCGGTGCAATGAACTGTAATCTGTTGGAGTTCTTGGGGCAGTTGGCCTTTACATGTCCCGGCTCGTTACATTTAAAACATCGTCCAGCTGACGGGTCACTGGAGCGAGGTGGGTTCCTGGAGAACGGGGTGGCAGGACGACAAGGTGGCTGGAGGGTTCCTTCGGGGGTAGGTGGGGCCTGGGGCGGCCCCCGGTAATAGGGTGTGGTCTGAGGTTGTCCCTTCTGGTATCCACTCCAACTGCGACCAGTTTTTTTCTTCTCTGCCACCTCCACCCATTTGGCTCTAATCTCCCCCGCCTTGATTACAGTTTTGGGTTTCCTATCTAGGATGTACCTTTCTATTTCCTTAGGAACACCCTCTAAGAACTGTTCCATTTGCATTAGGAAGGGCAAATCTACTGGAGATTGAACACTTGCTCCTGATATCCAGGCATCCCAATGTTTCACAATGTGGTAGGCATGTCAGGTAAATGACACGTCTGGTTTCCACCTTAGGGCTCTGAATCGCCGACGGGAATGCTCGGGTGTTAGCCCCATTCTGACTCTCGCCTTGGTTTTAAACAGTTCATACTGGTTCATTTGTGCCTTAGGCATTTCAGCTGCTACCTCAGCTAAGGGTCCACTGAGCTGCGGCCTCAGTTCTACCACGTATTGGTCTGTAGGGATGCTGTACCAAGGCAGGCCCTTTTGAAGTTTTCTAAGAAGGCCTCGGTCTCATCGCCTGCCTTGTAGGTGGGGAACTTTCTGGGATGGGAAGTGGTACCTGGAGAAGGATTGCTAGGGCTTGTTGGTATATTCTGCTGAGCCCTTGCCTTCTCCATCTCCAGTGCATGCTTCCTCTCTTTTTCCTTCTCCTCCAGTTCTTTGTCCCTTGCCTCCATTTCCCTCCTGTGGGCAGCCTCCATTTCTTTTTCCCTGGCCTCATGTACATCCATCTCTATCCGCATGAGTTCTGTCTGTCTTTCATATTCCTTTTGTTTTTCCTCAGCCTCAAATCTGGCTAATTCCAGCTTTTGTTGAACTGTGGAGTCTGTCATCCTAACCTCTCTGTTTTTAACTAACTTTACACCCGAGAGTTACACAGGAAACAAACAAAAAAAAAAAACTTGACTTTTAAAATTTTGCTGTGCTATTCTCTGATAGGGATTGTCAGCCTACAGAAAAATAATAAAAAAAAAAAAAAAACCCAACAACAATAAAAAAAATTCAGAAAAAAAACCCCCGAAACCCTAACACCTTTGGCTCCAGGCAAATAGGTAGAAAACCCCTCTAGTTGTTCTTAGGAGAAAAAAAAAAAAACTTCAGGTCTATGAAGACCTGTGAATTTCCCTGCAGGAGGTTAACTACTCTGCCTTTAGGAAGAGAAACTGCAGCTCACAAAGGCAAATCCCTTTTGTCTCTGCTCTGGCCCCAAAGCAAAGCAAAAAACCTCCAACTATTTCCAGTTGGGAAACTTGCTTTCTAGCAGCCCAAACGAAAAAAAATTCCCTTTTAAAATCTGTGTTTCTGGTTCAAAAAAATCTCAAATAGATCTCCAAATGATTTCAAATTGATCCTACCGCTCTGCCACTCTGAACTCTAGGGTACAGATGTGGGGACCTGCATGAAAACCTCCTAAGCTTACTTTTACCAGCTTAGGTTAAAACTTCCCGAAGGTACAAACTATTTTACCCTTTGCCCTTGGACTTCCACTGCCACCACCAAACATTTATCTGGGTTTATTTTTATTAGGAAAGCATTGTTTGGAAAAAGTCTTCCCCCCCAAAATCCTCCCAACCCTTGCACCCCACTTCCTGGGTAAGGTTTGGTAAAAATCCTCACCAATTTGCATAGGTGACCACAGACCCAAACCCTTGGATCTTAAGAACAATGAAAAAGCATTCAGTTTCTGAAAAGAAGGATTTTAATAGAAGAAGTAAAAAGTAAAAAAGAATCATTTCTGTAAAATCAGAATGGTAAATACCTTACAGGGTAATTTGATTCAAAACATAGAGAATCCCTCTAGGCAAAACCTTAAGTTACAGAAAGACACACAGACAGGAATATTCATTCTATTCAACACAACTTAATTTCAAAAAGAAAAGGAGTATTTGTGGTACCTTAGAGACTAACCAATTTATTTGAGCATAAGCTTTCGTGAGCTACAGCTCACTTCATCGGATGCATAAAGTGGAAAGTACAGTGAGGAGATTTTATACATACACATGGACCATGAAAAAAATATACATTGTAAGGAGAGTGATCACTTAAGATGAGTTATTATCAGCAGGAGAGTGGGGTGGGGGGAGAGAAAACCTTTTGAAGTGATAATCAAGGTGGGCCATTTCCAGGAGTTAACAAGAACATCTGAAGAACAGTGGGGGGGGGGGGGGGGGGAGGAATAAACAAGGGGAAGTAGTTTCACTTAGTATAATGACTTAGCCACTCCCAGTCTCTATTCAAGCCTAAGTTAATTGTATCCAATTTGCAAATTAATTCCAATTCAGCAGTCTCTCGTTGCGGGGCTGTCTGTAGGCAAGGACTGGCCTGTCTCCCAAGATTTGTGAGAGTGATGGGTCGTCCTTCAGGATAGGTTGCAGATCTTTGATAATGCGTTTATCATCTAGACCCATGGAAAAGAAGCCATTGAGGAATTCCACCACGATTTCAACAATTTCCATCTCACCATCAACCTCAACCTGGACCAGTCCACACAAGAGATCCACTTCCTGGACACTACAGTGCTAATAAGCAATGGTCACATAAACATTACCCTATACCGGAAACCTACTGACCGCTATTCCTACCTACATACCTCCAGCTTTCACCCAGACCACACCACACGATCCATTGTCTACAGCCAAGCTCTACGATACAACCGCATTTGCTCCAACCCCTCAGACAGAGACAAACACATACAAGATCTCTATCAAGCATTCTTACAACTACAGTAGCCACCTGCTGAAGTGAAGAAACAGATTGACAGAGCCAGAAGAGTACCCAGAAGCCACCTACTACAGGACAGGCCTAACAAAGAAAATAACAGAACGCCACTAGCCGTCACCTTCAGCCCCCAACTAAAACCTCTCCAACGCATTATCAAGGATCTACAACCTATCCTGAAGGACGACCCATCACTCTCACAAATCTTGGAAGACAGGCTAGTCCTTGCCTACAGACAGCCCCGCAACCTGAAGCAAATACTTACCAGCAACCACATACCACACAACAGAACCACTCACCCAGGAACCTATCCTTGCAACAAAGCCCTTTGCCAACTGTGCCCACATATCTGTTCAGGGGACACCATCATAGGGCCTAATCACATCAGCCACACTATCAGAGGCTCGTTCACCTGCACTTCTACCAATGTGATATATGCCATCATGCGCCAGCAATGCCCCTCTGCCATGTACATTGGTCAGACTGGACAGTCTCTACGTAAAAGAATAAATGGATACAAATCAGATGTCAAGAATTATAACATTCATAAACCAGTCGGAGAACACTTCACTCTCTCTGGACACTCGATTTCTGATCTCAAAGTGACTATCCTTCAACAAAAAAACTTCGAAAACAGACTCCAAGGAGAGACTGCTGAATTGGAATTAATTTGCAAATTGGATACAATTAACTTAGGCTTGAATAGAGACTGGGAGTGGTTGAGTCATTATACTAAGTGAAACTATTTCCCCTTGTTTATCCCCCCCCCCCCCGGTCCTCAGACATTCTTGTTAACTCCTGGAAATGGCCCACCTTGATTATCACTTCAAAAGGTTTTCTCTCCCCTGCCCTCCTCCTGCTGGTAATAGCTCATCTTAAGTGATCACTCTCCTTACAATGTATATTTTTTCATGGTCTGTGTGTATGTATAAAATCTCCTCACTGTACTTTCCACTTTATGCATCCAATGAAGTGAGCTGTAGCTCACAAAAGCTTATGCTCAAATAGATTGGTTAGTCTCTAAGGTGCCACAAGTACTCCTTTTCTTTTTGCAAATACAGACTAAGACGGCTGCTACTCTGAAACCTAACAACTTAATTTCTCAGCCATTTAAAGAAATCATAATCTAATGCATATCTAGCTAGATTGCTTACTAAATTCTAAGACTCCATTCCTGTTCTGTCCCCAGCAAAAGCATAACACAGACAGACTTTTTGTTTTTCCCTCCCCACAGCTTTTGAAATTATCTTGTCTCCTCATTGGTCATTTTGGTCAGGTGCCAGCGAGGTTATCCTAGCTTCTTAACCCTTTACAGGTGAGAGGATTTTTCCTCTGGCCAGGAGGGATTTTAAAGGTGTTTACCCTTTCCTTTATATTTATGACAACATGCATGAGGGACAGTTCCACCAGATCAAAACCTTCACTGGGATGGGAGACACAGAGGCTGCTGGAACATGCCCTCTGTCTGTGAGAGCTGCTGCTAGCAGAGACATGTTTAATGAATGTTACAATACCCAGTGACACTGGGGGAGACTAGCAGTGCTTAATTTGTAATGAAAGAGGTGCCAGGGCACAAGCACTTTTTTTACATTAATAACTGATGCAGCAAGACCAGAGGTGCTGGAGCTATGAACTGTCAAGCCCTGGCACAAATTAAGCACTGGAGACTAGCCCTGAGGTTTTAAAGCCCAGGTCTAAACTACACCTAGAGGGGTGATTTTCTTAGTGACTTTCTATAGTACAGACTTAGTGATTTTCTATAGTGCAGACACAGTTATATCAGCATCACAGTGCTTCAGCTGTGTCCCTGCAGCTTATTTTGCTTGGGCAGCACCTAGATTAAGCTCTGCTAGCAAAAGCACATCTTTGCTTGTATAAACTGCATCCCCAGGAGGAGGTCTGCGCAAATCTATCTCTAGTGTAGAAATTAGCTGTTGCCACAGGAGGGCTCTGGATAAAGCTGTGGGAGAGGGCTGCTCTTTCTGCGCTCAGATCAGGATATCAGCAATTGAGCTTCCGGGGTGAGACATTAGTGACCCCTCCATTGTCATGTAGGGGAGCCGGGGCTGAGCAGCCACTGCTCCCTAGCCGGGAGAGAGACAACCCCCCCCGCCCGTGCCCAGCCGGGGGGACTTTCTCCGGAGGCTCGAACCAGCCCCGGGCTCTGCCGACACCAGCCCCTGAGCCGGAGCCTGCAGGTGAGGGGGGAGACCCGGGGAAAGGGCTGGGGCTGGGCAGGAAAGTGACTCTGCACCAACGGCCCCTCCTCGCCCCAGCTCTGCTCCCGGGGGGGGCGGGGGTCTGCGAGTCTCGGAGCTGCTGCTGCTGCCCCCCCCCCGGCTCTGCCCCCCTGAGCGCCTGCAGGAGCCGAGCCAGCGCCGGGAGAGCGAACGGGCCGGGCCAAGGACCGAGTCTCCCAGCCCGAGGGGAGGGGGCAGGAGGGAGATGGGCAGAGACTGGCAGGGGCAGCAGGAGCAATCAGTGGGGAGGGAGGTTCCCGGCTCCCAGCCCTGCCCAGCCCCATTCCCTGCAGCACCCTGGGCAGATTGACTTTCCTGGGACAAGGTGAGGAGCAGGAAGAGGAAAAGCCAGTTCCTGCCTCTGCTGGGAGAATGTGCTGCTCTGGGGACAGTGTCAGGGGGATCCCCCAAAGTGGCTCCTTTCATCTCTTTTCTAGTATTTGGTTCAGAGACGCTGGTATTGGGGCGAGTGGGGGGTTGAAATGTTGTAGTGGGGTTGGTCCTGGTGCAGGGAGCCGAGTCTGCACTAGCATGAAGCAACCAAGCCTTTTCCCGCCACCACTGAGTCATGAGCGTCAGTCCACAGGGAAAAGGCCTGCTGGGAATCAGGGTGTGAAATGGCCTAAAGCCCCTTCTGAAACCTGCCCCATTTTCTCGCCCTGACAGGCTGAAGAACCACATCCGGTCCATTCCAGACTGCACTACCCTCCTGGGGCATGGGGCAGGGACATGGCTGGAGCAAGGCTGGCTCAGGTAGGGCATTTGTATTGGAGTTCATGGAAAAGAGAAGAAGGCAGTGAAAGGCTGGGGTCAAACAGGCCCTCATGCTTTGGATACAAACCTGTCCTGGAGGGTTGGGAATCCTCCTGTGATGTGGAAGGTGAACCAAGCCCCTGACGGTCCTGAAGCCATATTTAAACTCCCTTATGGGTAGGGGCTGCTGGGAGTTTCTGAAGGAACTTCTCATTTCTGCTACAGGTCCTGTTTTGGCCCCACTGCTCTTTGGTAGTAGAGACCAGCACAGTTACGTCTAGGACTATCTGAGCCACATAGTGCAATCAGGGAACCCTACTGAGGATGGCAGCTTTGAGGCCCCCAGACTACAACTCCCATGAAGCACCAGGGCAGCATTTCCAAATCAAAATATTTCTGGCTTTGGATACCATTTTCCACAGGGGTAGGTGGGTGCGGGAATGATTTTTTGACCTGCCTTTTGGAATTGAACTAGCTGAGGTTTTGTCCAATATTTTTTTTAGTATTTGAAGTTTTACCAAAAATAAAAAAAAAATCCTGTTTTCTGTCCCACTCCGGTGATGCTTCTGGGAGTAATGAAAGCAGGGACAGAACCATCAACAGTCTGTGGGGTACAAGGAAAGTGGGGTGAGGGCCTTTTGGAAGGTGATTCTAACTCTAAGCTAGGATTCATGGGAACTACACCGATCCCTGCAGGGCAGAATTCAGCAGAGGGCTCAACCAGGTCTCCCGTGACTGAGCTGGTGGGACTGTGGCTGGCACAGGAAGCTCTGAATGGGGGATTCTTGGTATTCCAGGAGCCGGTGACCTTCGAGGAGGTGGCTGTGTATTTCACCAAGGAGCAGTGGGCTCTGCTGGTCCCAGGTCAGAGAGCCCTCTACAGGGACGTCATGCAGGAGAATTATGAGACTGTGGCTTCACTAGGTAAGGATTCCTGTCCCCTCGGGTACAGCTTGTGACCATGGGGGCCTCTTCCAGTCTTCTGTTCTTATAAGGGAGCAGGGAAGGAACCCTGAGCAGAAGCCAATGCAGGTGCTTAAGAGACCCCACATCTTAGGGATACATTTCATAGTCCCCAGATCCCATATGAGAGACATCCGCCACATCTCTTCTCATGGGCCAGAAGATTCTGGGACCCACCAGGGATTCTTCTCTTAATATCTCTAGTGATTTGAACAGGGACACACTTGCTTTATTCTCCCAAATTCCTGATAGTGGTTTAAACCCTCTTCTTAATCATTATTAATACTGTGAGTATTTAGCTTGCAGTAGTGCGCAGAGGCCCAAGAGGCCAGGGCCCCATTCTGCTAAGCACTGTACAAACATATAGTAAATGACTGTCTGTGACCCGAGGAGTTTACAGCCTGAAAATCTACTATGACAGGTGTTGACGCACACAGAGACAAGACACATCTGTGGGATCTGTAAAGAAAATAGAGTTCCCCCTCACACAATTTATTTCAATTCAAGGTGATAATATTTCTCCCTAGCCTCTTAGTAATTGTAGAGATGCCTGCCTTAAAACAACACAAAAGAGTGTGTTTATTAGCTGTCAGTGTTCAGGGAAGGTCATCAGCACAGCCTGCTTCAGAGCTTCATAAAGAAGAGACTATAATAACCATCTAGTCTGACCTGCATCACACAGGCCAGCGAATTTTACCCAGAGATTCCCAATATCTTGTGGTTGAACTGGAGGGTATTTTTTAGAAAGACATCTGGTCCTGACTTGAAATCTCCAAATGATGGAGAACACACCCTGTCCCTTGGTAAATTGTTCCAGTGGTTAATCCCTCTCACAGTTAAGCCTGTGCACCTTATTTCTAGCTTGAATTTATCTAGCTTCAGCTTCCAGCTTTGGACCTTGTCACTATTTTTGCCTACTAAATTAAAGACCTGACTGCTACATGAAATCTCCTGCCCATGTAGGTAGGTGCTTGTAGACCTTTCAGGTAGAGCTAGATGAGAAATCGTTTTCCCATCTTGTGAAAATTTTGAGATTTCAAAGGGTTTGGGAGTTTTTTTCTTTTTTGACCCACCCGCATCAAGACAAAAAATGAGACCTTTTGAAATTCTGTTGCAGAGAGATCCACCTAGAATAGCTATAAGCCCAGGCATTAGGAAACTCATCTGGGAAGTGGTAGACCCAGTTATATAAGAATACTAGAATGGCCACAATGTGTCAGACCAATGGTGCATCTAGTCCAGTATCCTATCTTCCAACCGTGGCCACTGCCAGACGCTCAAGAGAGAATGAACAGAACAGGCAATTATCGAGTGATCCATCCCCTGTCATCCAGCCCCAACTTCTAGCAGTCAGAGGTTTAGGGACATCCAGAGCATTGGGTTGAATCCCTGACCATCTTGGCCAATAGCCATTGATGGACCTATCCTCCAGGAACTTATCTAATTCTTTTTTGAACACAGTTATAGTTTTGGCCTTCACAACATGCCCTGGCAACGAGTTCTGCAGGTTGACTGTGTGTTTGTGTTTGTTGTAAACCTGCTGCCTTTAATTTCATTGGGTGATCCCTGGGTCTTGTGTTGTGTGAAGGAGTAAATAACATTTCCCTATTCATTTTCTCCAAACCATTCATGGTTTTGTAAACCTTTATCATATCCCCTGTTAGTCATCTCTTTTCTAAGATAAACAGTTTCAGTGTTTTTAATCTTTCATTGTATGGAAGCTGTTCCACACCCCTAATCATTTTTGTTGCCCTTCTCTGTACTTTTTCCAATTCTAATATAACTTCTTTGAGATGGGGCGACCAGACCTGCATGCAGTATTCAAGGTGTGGATTTATATAGTGGCATTATGATATTTTCTGTTTTATTATGTATCCCTCTCCTAATGATTGCTAACATTCTTTTAGCTTTTTTTGCTTACTGCTGCACTTTGAGCAGATGTTTTCAGAGATCTATCTACAGTAACTTCAAGATCTCTTTCCTGAGTGGTAACAGCTAATTTAAACTTGATTATTTTGTATGTGTAGTTGGGATTATGTTTTCCAATATGAATTACTTCACACTTATCAATATTGAGTTTCATCTGCCATTTTGTTGCCCAGTCACCCAATTTTGTGAAAGCCCTTTGTAGCTCTTCACAGTCAACTTTGCACTTAACAATCTTGAGTATTGTCTGCAAACTTTGCCCCTTCCCTGTTTATTCACTTTTCCAGATCATTTACGAATGTATTGAACAGCACAGGTCCCAGTACAGATCCCTGGGGACCCCACTATTTACCTGTTTCCATTCTGAAAACTGACCATGTATTCCTACCCTTGTTTCCTGTATTAACCAATTACTGATCCATGAGAGGACCTTCCCTCTTATCCCATGACAGCTTAATTTGCTTAAGAGCCTTTGGTGAGGGACCTTGTTAAAGGCTTTCTGAAAGTCCACATACACTGTATCAACTGGATCACCCTTGTCCACATTTTTGTTGATGCCTTCGAGGAATTCTAATGAATGGGTGAGGCACAATTTGCCTTTACAAAAGCCGTGTTGTCTCTTCCCCAGCTTATTGTATTCATCTATGTGTCTGATCTGTTCTTTACTATAGTTTCTACCAATTTACCTAATACCAAAGTTAGGCTTACAAGCCTGTATTTGCCAGTACTGCCTTTGGAGCCCTTTAAAAAAATCAATGTTACATTAGCTATCCTCCAGTCTCCAACCCTACTCCCTGGCAGGAGCACGGAAGGGGTGGGGAGGGACCCCCACTTGTTCTGGTCCAGGGCCCCACAAAACCCTAATCCATCCCTGTGCAAGGGTGTTAAATTTAACTGCATTGCGGTCACTATTACCAAGCAGTTCAGCTATATTCACCTCTTGGACCAGATCCTGTGTGTCATTTAGAACTAAATCAAGAATTGCCTCTCCCCTTGTGGGTTTCAGGACTAGTTCCTTCAAGAAGCATCCATTCATGGTGTCTAGAAATTTATCTCTGCCTCCCATCCTGAGGGGACATACCCAGTCAAAACGGGGTAGTTGAAATCCCTCATTATGATTGGGTGTTCTGTTTTTGTGACCTCTCTAATTTCCCTGAGCATTTCACAGTCATCATTACCATCCTGGTCAGGTGGTCGGTAGTATATCCCTACTGCTACACTCTTATTATTCAACTATGGAATTTCTATATATGGAAATTCTATGGTATGGTTTGATTCTTTTAAGATTTTTGCTTTTTTGGCTCTATGCTTTCTTTCACATGTAGTGTCACTCCCCCACCAGTGAGACCTTCTCTGTCATTCCTCATCACACCCTATTTTGTACCCTGGTGTTCCCGTGTCCCACTGGTTATCATCATTCAATCAAATTTCTGTGGTGGCTATTATATCAATATCCTCATTTAATACCAAGCACTCAAGTTCACCCCTCTTAGTATGTAGTCTTCTGGCATTTGTACACAAGCAATATTTAGTTGTCTGCCTTTCTGTGATGTAACGGTGATGGATTTTTTTTCTTTGAACTCTTTTTTTTTTTTTTTTCCACTTCCTACATGTACAGTACTTTATATCTTCTCCTCTTTACTAGGTCCTTCTTGTAGTGTGGGACTCAAAACTGGACACAGTACTCCAGATGAGGCCTCAGCAATGTCAAATAGAGGGGAACGATCACGTCCCTTGATCTGCTGGTAATGCCCCTACTTATACAACCCAAAATGCCATTGGACTTCTTGGCAACAAGGGCACACTGTTGACTCATATCCAGCTTCTCGTCCACTGTAATCCCTAGGTCCTTTTCTGCAGAACTGCTGCCGAGCCATTCGGTCCCTAGTCTGTAGCGGTCCATGGGATTCTTCCGTCCTAAGTGCAGGAATCTGCACTTGTCCTTGTTGAACCTCATCAGATTTCTTTTGGCCCAATCCTCTAATTTGTCTAGGTCCCTCTGTATCCTATCCCTACCCTCCAGCATATCTACCACTCCTCCCAGTTTAGTGTCATCTGCAAACTTGCTGAAGGTGCAATTCACGCCATCCTCCAGATCATTAATGAAGATATTGAACAAAACCAGCCCCAGGACCGACCCTTGGGCACCCCATTTGATACCGACTGCCAAGTAGACATGGAGCCATTGATCACTACCCTTTGAGCCCGATGATCTAGCCAACTTTCTATCCACCTTCTAGTCCATTCATCCAGCCCATACTTCTTTAACTTCCTGGCAAGAATACTGTGGGAGACTGTGTCAAAAGCTTCGCTAAAGTCAAGGAATAACACATCCACTGCTTTCCCCTCATCCACAGAGACAGGCATATTAGAAGGCATAGAAGGCAATTAGATTAGTCAGGCATGACTTGCCCTTGGTGAATCCATGCTGACTGTTCCTGATCACTTTCCTCTCCTCTAAGTGCTTCAGAATTGATTCCTTGACGACCTGCTCCATGATTTTTCCAGGGACTGAGGTGAGGCTGACTGGCCTGTAGTTCACTGGATGCTCCTTCTTCCCTTTTTTAAAGATGGGCATTACATTAGCCTTTTTCCAGTCATCTGGGACCTCCCCCCGATTGCCATGAGTTTTCAAAGACAATGGCCAATGGCTCTGCAATCACATCTGCCAACTTCTTTAGCACTCTTGGATGCAGCGCTTCCAGCCTATGGACTTGTGCTCGTCCAGTTTTTCTAAATAGTCCCAAACCACTTCTTTCTCCACAGAGGGCTGGTCACCTCCTCCCCATGCTGTGCTGCCCAGTGCAGCAGTCTGGGAGCTGACCTTGTTCGTGAAGACAGAGGCAAAAAAAAGCATTGAGTACATTAGCTTTTTCCACATACTCTGTCACTAAGTTGCCTCCCTTGACTTTCTTCTTGTTGCTAACATACCTGAAGAAACCCTTCTTGTTCTCTTAAAATCCCTAGCTGCAACTCCAAGTGTGATGTGGCCTTCCTGATTTCACTCCTGCATGCCTGAGCAATATTTTTATACTCCTCCCTGGTCATTTGTCTAAGCTTCCACTTCATATAAACTTCTTTTTTGTGTTTAAGATCAGCAAGGATTTCACTGTTAAGCCAAGCTGGTCGCCTGCCATATTTACTATTCTTTCGACACATCGGGATGGTTTGTTCCTGTAACCTCAATAAGGATTCTTTAAAATACAGCCAGCTCTCCTGAACTCCTTTCCCCCTATTGTTGTTCTCCCAGGGGATCCTGCCCATCAGTTCCCTGAGGGAATCAAAGTCTGCCTTTCTGAAGTCCAGAGTTCATATTCTACTGCTCTCCTTTCTTCCTTGTCAGGATTCTGAACTCGACCATCTCATGGTCACTGCCTCAGGTTCCCATCCACTTTTGCTTCCCCTACTAATTCTTCCCAGTTTGTGAGCAGCAGGTCAAGAAGAGCTCTGCCCCTAGTTGGTTCCTCCAGCACTTGCACCAGGAAATTGTCCCCTACACTTTCCAAAAACTTCTTGGATTGTCTGTGCACCGCTGTATTGCTCTCCCAGCAGATATCAGGGTGATTGAAGTCTCCCATGAGAACCAGGGCCTGCGATCTAGTAACTTCCATGAGTTGCCGAAAGAAAGCCTCGTCCACCTCATCCCCCTGGTCTCGTGGTCTATAGCAGACTCCCAGCACGACATCACCCTTCTTGCTCACACTTCTAAACTTAATCCAGAGACTCTCAGGTTTTTCTGCAGTTTCATACTTGAGCTCTGAGCAGTCATACTGCTCTCTTACATACAATGCAACTCCCCCACCTTTTCTGCCCTGCCTGTCCTTCCTGAACAGTTTATACCCATCCATGACAGTACTCCAGTCATGTGAGTTATCCCACCAAGTCTCTGTTGTTCCAATCTCATCATAATTCCTTGACTGTGCCAGGACTTCCAGTTCTCCCTGCTTGTTTCCCAGGCTTCTTGCATTTATGTATAGGCACTTGAGATAACTCGCTGATTGTCCCTCTTTCTCAGTATGAGGCAGGAGCCCTCTCCTATCCTTCCTTACGTCATTGGTACCTACATGGACTACCAGCTCCTCCCCAGCATTGAACACATGTCTATCTAGATGTCTTGAGAGGTCTGCAACCCTCGCACCAGGCAGGCAGTTCACCATGCAGTTCTCCCAGTCATCACAAACCCAGCTACCTATATTTCTAATGATTCACTCTCCTATTCCTATTACTTGGCTCTTCCTAATAACTGGAATACTATGACATCATCTGGAATCGTTTCCCTCTGCTCCAGTTGGATGTTCTCCTTCCCCATAAGAACGGCCATACTGGGTCAGACCAAAGGTCCATCCAGCCCAGTATCCTGTCTACCGACAGTGGCCAATGCCAGGTGCCCCAGAGGAAGTGAACCTAACAGGTAATGATCAAGTGATCTCTCTGCTGCCATCCATCTCCACCCTTTGACAAACAGAGGCTAGGGACACCATTCCTTACCCATCCTGCCTAATAACCATTAACCCCAAGACTTCCTTACCCATCCTAGCTAATAGCCATTAACCCTGAGACTTCCATCCTCCTCAGCAGCACAGAGGCTGTCAGACTTGGGGTGGGACCGTTCTGCTCTGTCCTGAAAAGTCTTGTCTGTAATTAGGGGGCTGGAACACATGACTTATGAGGAGAGGCTGAGGGAACTGGGATTGTTTAGTCTGCGGAAGAGAAGAATGAGGGGGGATTTGATAGCTGCTTTCAACTACCTGAAAGGGGGTTCCAAAGAGGATGGATCTAGACTGTTCTCAGTGGTAGAAGATGGCAGAACGAGGAGTAATGGTCTCAAGTTGCAGTGGTGGAGGCTTAGGTTGGATATTGGGAAAAACTTTTTCACTAGGAGGGTGGTGAAGCACTGGAATGCGTTACCTAGGGAGGTGGTGGAATCTCCTTCCTTAGAGGTTTTTAAGGTCAGGCTTGACAAAGCCCTGGCTGGGATGATTTAATTGGGGATCGGTCCTGCTTTGAGCAGGGGGTTGGACTAGATGACCTCCTGAGGTCCCTTCCAACCCCGATATTCTATGATTCTATTATTCTACCTCTCTGTCTCCCTTAGCTTCTCCAGTTTAGTCACTCTGGTCTCCACAGCCCATACTCAGTCTCTGAGGGCCATGAGCTCTTTTCACCGAGTGCAAAAATATGCCACCATAACCCGCCCACAAGGCAGATAATCATACATGTTTCATTCAGGGCAATAAACTGGATAGCCCCCACACTGCTGCTGGGCTTCTGCCTGCATTCTTTTTTGCTTTTGCAGGATTGGTTGGTTTGTTTGTTCATTCATTCTTTGGGGGTTTTGTTTTGGGTTTTTTTGGGGTGTGTGTGAGTGGGGTTATTGGCCTAAGTTTAAAAGTATGTTTGTTAGATGTATCTTGCTTTCAGGCTTCCCCCCCACACACCCCCCCCAAGTTGCCTTGCAAAACTCCCCTGTTCACTAGCTCCTCTGGTCACTTAGAAGCAGATTTTTTAAACCCCTCTTTTCCCTGAATTAGCCTTGCTCCTTGTCAAGGGGTCAAAGGATGGCTGGCAAGAGCCTCATTAGTAAGGTCTCAGCCTAGCCTAGCAGGCCACTAGGCTCAGCACACAGCCCCCAAAACAGACCACACTATAAACATCAATCAAGCAGGCATACAACGAGCTAACAGACAGCAAACTCACCCCCAGGATCACCTAATCACTCCTCCTGCACCTGCAGAGCTCCCTCCCAGGACTCCCCCGTTTGCAAGGCTCTGATCTGGAGCAGAGACTTGGCTCTGCCAGTCCCTCTGGGGTGCCCAAACCCCCAGGCTGTGGAACCAATTTCTCTTGCGTCGGCCCAATTAATATTTAATTGCTTATTCAAAGTGGAACAGCTCCAATGGGGGAAGTTTGCAAAGAGTGAGAAAGATCTGAGCTCTCCCTGGGGTGCAGAAGGTATAGACTGAACTTGCTGCTCTGCTAGATTCTGGCCACGGACTCAAACCTAGATCCCAGCCGCGTTCCCTACCCATTGGAATGGATGGGGCTGTCTGACCCTAGGCTTCATCCTGGACCTGAGAAATTGGTTTCCATAAATTGGCATTTTCTGATTTAAAAAAAAAAAACATTGTGTCAAAAATTTCCCCACCAGCTCTGTTCCAGGTCTTTGTGGTAAGGGCAGGATTCATGTCCTTCCCCTGATTTCCCAGCATGCTTTGGCCCACTCTAGAACATTGACAGAGAATCATAGAAGATTACGGTTGGAAGAGAACTCAGGAGGTTATCTAGTCCAATCCCTGCTCAAAGCAAGACCAACCCAAACTAAAGCATTCCAGCCAGGGCTTTGTCAAGCCGGGCTTTAAAAATCTCTAAGGATGGAGATTCCACCACCTCCCTAGGTAACCCATTCCACTGCTTCACCACCCTCCTGTGGCAGCGTTTCAGCTTCAGAGAGAGGACCTGGACTTCAATCTCTTACTAGCAGCCTAAATTTAGCCTCCAGGACCTCTCTCATAGAATCATAGAATATCAGGGTTGGAAGGGATCTAGTCCAACCCCCTGCTCAAAGCAGGACCAATCCCCAACTAAATCATCCCAGCCAGGGCTTTGTCAAGCCTGACCTTAAAAACTTCAAAGGAAGGAGATTCCACCACTTCCCTAGGTAACACATTCCAGTGCTTCACCACCCTCCTAGTGAAAAAGTTTTTCCTAATATCTAACCTAAACCTCCCCCACTGCAACTTGAGACCATTGCTCCTTGTTCTGTCATCTGCCACCACTTAGAACAGTCTAGAGCCATCCTCTTTGGAACCCCCCTTCAGGTAATTGAAGGCTGCTATCAAATCCCCCCTCACTCTTCTCTTCTGCAGACTAAATAAGCCCAGTTCCATCAGCCTCTTCTTGTAAGTCATGTGCCCCAGGTCCCTAATAATTTTCATTGCCTTCTGCTGGACTCTCTCCAATTTGTTCACATCCTTTTTGTAGTGGGGGGCCCAAAACTGGATGCAGTACTCCAGATATGGCCTCACCGGTGCCAAATAGAGGGGAACGATCACATCCCTCAATCTGCTGGCAATGCTCCTATTAATGCAGCTCAGTATGCCATTAGTCTTTTTGACAAGGAGGGCCCACTGCTGCCAGAGCTGCCAGAGTGAGCTACATTTCCCAGTATGCCCTGCTCTTGGGCAAAGACATCTGAGGGCAACTGCCTGGAACCCCCAGAAGCCATCTTGGCCCATCACTGGCAAGTGGAGCACAAGCTTGTCTGGAGCTACTCGTACCACTCCAGCCTCAGGCGGTAAAGCTAAGGTCAGCAGTTGCTTCCTTATTAATTCCTGGCTGCTCCTCCAGTTCAGTGACTTGGTCTTTTGACCAAGGATCCTGGAACTGAGCTGGGCTGACCGGGTTCCCATCGTACACCTTAAAAAGCCAGTCCACTGTCCTGTTACACCGTGAAATGGGCAGGTGGATTTTTACACCCCAGGGACACGTGTGTGTGTGTGTACAAACCGGGGAGCCTTAAGTGGACTGCAGAGAACCCCATTTGTCTGCCACCGGATGTGTGAACCCACAGAGTGGGTCTCCATGAATATTTTCCAGTCGCTTTGTCTCAAGCACCCCCTCGCCCAGCAAAGAAAGGGGCTGATATGAAAGCAGAGAACTGCCTGCATGAAAAGCACAACGTGAATACCAGCCTCAACCTCTCCCATTTTCTACCCCTGAGCAGGGTTTCCCGTTCCCAAACCCCGTGTGATCTCCCAGCTGGAAGGAGGGGAGGAGCCGTGGGTACCAGATCCCCAGGGCTCTGAGGACAGGGAGGTCCCAAGACACAGCCACAGAGGTGAGGATTTAGTTAAACTAACTTGGAAACCATCCAAGCCCTTGGGAGCTCCCCCAGTTCTGTCTCATCTCATCCAGGACAGGATTGTCCCCAGCAGGTCATATCCTCATGGCGGACTCAACTCAGCGCTTCCCGCCCACCCTGGCTGGAGATCCCTTCCCATGCTTGCTCAGACGGGCTGCGGGGGCAGGCCTGGCCCTGCTCTCTCTCCTCTGGGAGAATGGAGGGTTTGGGGAATCAGCTTCTGATTTTTGACCCTCTCAATTCCTTTGTGACACTCCCTTTAGCATCCCGATTCCCAATGTTCCCTTGCTGCCTGCAGAGACACTGACTCATCTCTGGATTCTCTCAATTGCAGCTGCCGAGGGGATGGCGAGGAAGGAGGAGGAGAGGCCGCAACAGGACACCCCTGCGCAGCTGCAGGTGCAGAGCCCTGGTCAGGGAGCAGCCTGTGTGACTGAGGGCAGTTCAGGAAGGCAGCAGAGAAACTCGCCCTCAGAGCCGGAGTGTGAGCCAGGCTCTGGGCAGCACCCCACCAGGGGCCCATCCCCTCCCTGTGGCGGAGCTGTGGAGAGTCAGGGCCAGGCCAGGGAGCGGCCCAATGTGTGCAGCGAGTGCGGGAAAGGCTTCCGGCGTGGCTCAGACCTCAGCAAGCACCGCCGGTCCCACGGCGAGCGTCCCCACCAGTGCCCCGAGTGCGGGAAAGGCTTCCCCGTCCGCTCAGCCCTGGCCACCCACCGGCGCATCCACACAGGGGAGCGCCCCTATGCCTGCGACGCATGCGGGAAGCGCTTTGGCCAGAGCTCCCACCTGATGCAGCACCTGCGCTCCCACACAGGGGAGAAGCCCCACCGGTGCCCCGAGTGTGGGAAGAGCTTCCGGGAGGGCTCCACGCTGGCCCGGCACCGCCGCACCCATCGCCAGGAGAAGCCCCACACCTGTCCCCACTGCGGGAAGGGTTTCCACGAGCGGTCCAACTTCGCCCGGCACCAGCGCACCCACGCCGGAGAGCTGCCCTCTGCCCCAGAGGAGGAGGGGAAGTCCTTCATCTGCCCCGAGTGCGGGAAGGGCTTTGGCCGCAACGCCTACCTGACCCTGCACCGGCGTGTGCACACCGGGGAGAGGCCCTACGCCTGCACCGACTGCGGGAAGCGCTTCAGCGCCAGCTCCAACCTGACCCGGCACCAGCGCGTCCACACGGGCGAGAGGCCCTACCCCTGCGCCCGCTGCGGGAAACGCTTCTCCCAGAGCTCCACCCTCTTTGTGCACCTGCGCACCCACACCGGGGAGGCACCCTACCGCTGCGCTGCCTGCGGGAGGGGCTTCAGCCAGAACTCCACCCTCCTGGCGCACCAGCGCACCCATAGGGGTGAGAAACCCTGCCGCCAGCCGCCAGGAGCCTGTGCCAGGAACGGGCCCTACCTGGGCAAGTGCTGTGCCAGCGACCCGCTGCTCCAGAGGCACCAGAAGGCACACCTGTGATGGGGGGCTGTCCCCACACGGAGGCATGGTAGAGTGCAGCCCTGAGGAATAGCCCAGGGTCAGGGCCCTGCCTGGGGATAGGAGACCCAAACTCAGTTTCTTGCTCTTCCATAAATCACTTAGGCCCAGATTGTCAAAGGCATTTAGGCTCCTGACTCTTATTGATTTAAATGGACTTTAAGGTCAGATTTTAAAGGTATTTGGGTGCTGAAAGATGCCTAAAAATTCAGTTCCAAAGGGAACCAAAAAAAGTAGAAATTTCCCATGCAACAAAATTCCATCATGTTCTGGCTGTGACTTTATATGTTTTTATTTATTTATATATAATACACACACACACACACACATTCTTATATAATACTATATATACACACACACACACACACACACACACGTATACTATATGTATTATGCAATATATATATTTTTTAATTGAAACAAACAATCATTTTAAAAGGAAAATCAAAATGGTCCCTCCCCAAAAGGTAGAAATAGAACCTTTCCGCCTTCTAGGCATGTTTCCATCTCATTTTATTTTTCCTCAATGAAATTTCATCAGAACTAATCCATTTCTCCTATTTTGACAGAATGCCCCTTCCAACAGAGAACCATTCCCTCAAAATGTTTTTGGCTAGCTCTAGTGCTTAACCTCCTCCAGTGCTTTCAAAAAATCCCTCCAGCTGCCTATCTGCAGCTTTAGGCACCTAGATACCTTTGTAAACCTGGGTCTTCGTGTGTGTGGGTCTCAGTCCCCCATCTGTAAAATGGGGTTATAGCTCTGCCCTGCCTGGCAGAGGTATGCAAAGAGAAATGCACTGAAGGTTGTGAGGTGCCCAGATGCTACAGTGATGGAAGATCTCTTAGCATCATAGATAGGTAGCATGGGGTTAGCGAACTGCCATTGAATTTCCCTGGGACTTGGGTGCCCAAGTCTTTGGGGGCCTAAGTCCTTTAGGTTTGTCATAAATATAAAGGGAAGGGTAACCACCTTTCTGTATACAGTGCTATAAAATCCCTCCTGGCCAGAGGCAACATCCTGTTACCTGTAAGGGGTTAAGAAGCTCAGCTAACCTGGCTGGCACCTGACCCAAAGGACCAATAAGGGAACATGATACTTTCAAATCTTGGAGGAGGGATAGTTCAGTGGTTTGAGCATTGGCCTGCTAAACCCACGGTTTTGAGTTCAATCCTTGAGGGGGCCATTTAGGGTTCTGGGGCAAAAATTGGGGATTGGTCCTGCTTTGACTAGGGGGTTGGAGAAGATGGATTTCTGTCTGGTCTCTCTCAGTCCCAAGAGAGAGCAAACACAAACAAAGAGCACAAACAAAAGCCTTTCCCCTGTGAGAGACCGCGAGACCCTGAAAAAGAGCTGCACGAGCTGCAGCAGCAGCATGAACGGGCTGGTGGAGAGATTTTATGGGACCCTGAGGATGATGCTGAGGACTTTTATGAATCAGCGTCCGCAGGACTGGGACAAGTACCTGCTGTGACCAAGTGGGACTGTTCTTAATGTTTCCTCTGAATACTATAGGGGTGCCTCAGTTTCCCCTATGCATTTCTTAAGTCTCTAGGTGGGTGGGATAAGGGAGAGTAATTGTTGCAGAGCAAAGGGCCAGGGTACATAAATGGCCGACACTGTCTCCTGGCAACTGATGGCCTGGGCCTTTCCCCCCTGCAAGGTGAGAGCTAAAGGGTTGGAGAACAAAGAATCAGGTGACCTCCTGGCCTGGGAAAGGGACAAAGCCCAGAGGAGGCGGGGCTGGAGGGTAAGTCAGTGTGGGGCCAGCTGGGGACGTGGAGTGAAGTGCAGACAAGGTTGTCTGGCTCACTGCCCCCCAAAATGGATCTGGCTGAGGGGTCCTGTTCTCTGTACCTACAAGCTCTGTTTTAGACCATGTTCCTGTCATCTAATAAACCTCTGTTTTACTGGCTGGCTAAGAGTCACGTCTGACTGCGAAATTGGGGTGCAGGACCCTCTGGCTTCCCCAGGACCCCGCCTGGGTGGACTTGCTGTGGGAAGCACACGGAGGGGCAGAGGATGCTGAATGCTCTGAGGTCAGGCCTAAGAAGGTGGAAGCTGTGTGAGCTTTTTGCCCTGTAGACAGGCTGCTCACCGAGAGGAGACCTCACCCCAGTCCTGACTGGTTTCGTAGGGAGTAGTTCCAGAACATCGCCCAGAGACTCTGTGACAACTGGTGTCAGGGGTGGGATGTACTGCACCCCGTGGATGGCACTTCCTGCAGTAAGTGACTGGGGAGCAGTAAAAGGAAGGAGGGCTAATGAGGACCAGGCATGCTGAAGGCTCAGAGAGGAGCGGTTTCAGGGGCGGAGGAGCTACGCTTAACTCCTGGGAGGGTGTGACCAGCGAGAAGGACTGTGCAGTAATGGGGTCCTCCTGGGGACTGCAGTGAGCAGTCTCGGGGCGGAAGAGCCTGTGGCTTGGCCCTGGCAAGGAGGTGGTGACCTTGAGAAGGCTGGTACACTAGGGGTTCTCCCTAGAAACCATGGGGGAGCTAAGAGCACACAGGCCTGTGAGTCCACAACAACTTGGGAACAGCAAAGTGATGGCCTATCACCATCTCCTTAAGAAGGACACTGTAATCCTGTGGAAAAAGAGAGGGTTCCGCATGCAAAAGTTCACCAAAGCACAGTTAATCGTGCAGCTGGAGGATGATGACCACTCTAAGGAACAGATTCCTGACCCAAATGGGGCTATAGCAGGATCTGGGAGCAGCTGGAGTGGTAGCCAGGCATCCCCAAGGCTCCTGTCCCCAACCAGATGAGGGTCTTCACGATTGGGTTCCTCATCAGGGGATCAGAGACAGACGGATTGGAGCTGAGTCCCAAGAGAGAACCAACAGGTAAACAAAGAGCACAAACAAAAGCCTTTTCCCCCCCTCCAAGATTTGAAAGTATCATGTTCCCTTATTGGTCCTTTGGGTCAGGTGCCAGCCAGGTTAGCTGAGCTGCTTAACCCTTTACAGGTAACAGAATGTTGCCTCTGGCCAGGAGGGATTTTATAGCACTGTATACAGAAAGGTGGTTACCCTTCCCTTTATATTTATGACAAGGTTCCTTTGAAAATCTTAGCCCACAGTGCTTAGGAGGATAAGGGGATTGGTGTGTGTGTGGTGTAGGGAGAGGAACAGTCAGAGGAGGGAGGGAGCTGGTATTTGAGTGGGGGAGGGAGTGGCTGCCTTGGGAAGCAGGGGTTCTGGTGAAAGAGGTGGGCACCGCATGAATGGATTGTTTTTCTGGGGTTGCGAGGAATTGGGAGCCAAAGGGAAATTTTATTTTTCTTAAAGCCCCAAACTATCCAAAGTGATGAAGGCCTCTGGTTCTCTGGGGCGGCAGGAGGGGAGATAACAAGCTAGCTGTGCCATCTGGTGTATTGCCCCCTCCTGCCACACACACGCATTCTGGGCAGTTCCTGTGTTTTGGAGCTCTCCATAGTGATGGACAAAAATCCTGTAGCTCCCTCTCCATGCAGCTGGTCACAAAACAGGAAACAGCATTCACAAATGTGTTTCAAGGGATGTTTCCTGTTCTTTCACCCGTATGCAGTCCAGACCACGGGCAAAGCCCCACTTCAGTCCCATTTGTGCTCTATTTTGAGGGATTAAGGGGGATTTAATACCCTCTAACCCAGGGGTAGTCAGTTATTTTTTCTCAAGATCCAAATTTCTTGGTCAAGTATAATCAAGGTCCAGATTCCAGAGAACATAATTTTAAAAATCCCAACAATAATGATAATAAGTAAATAACATTTTGGGGTCTATTCAAAAGTGTCTGGTGGTCCGGATTTGGCCCATGGTCCACCTATTGACTACTCCTGCTCTTATCTATCAATCTATCTATCTAATCACATTAAAGTTGGTCCCATGGAAAACTATCATGAAAATGAGGGGGGAAATGTTTTTGTTGAAATTTTTCACAGGAAATTTCAACTTTTAAATGCAAAATGGAAATATTTCAATTCTGAAAGGACACCATGGTGCCTCATGGGAAATGTAGTTTGTGTGCTTCTTGCCCCCATTCTCCTTTATGGCCAGGCTCCTTAGTTGGCCCTCATCTCCCATGATGCCTTGCTGAGGGAAGGTGGTGAATCATGGAAGTCCCATGGCCACGATACATCATGGGAGATGAAATCCATCTGGGGAACCCGGCCCATCGAGTAGAATGGGGATATGAAACAACTGAACTACAATTCTCATGAAGCAAACTTGGCAGAATTTCCAAATGGAAACATTTCATTTTGAGGGAGTTCAGGGTTTTGCTTTTTGTTTTGTTTTGTCTTTTAGATGAAAAACTGATATTTTCCTCAGAAATCATATATTTTCCTTTTCATGAAAAATATGTTAGTCAAAATTCAAATTTCCATCAATAAAAAGTTTAGACAGCATATGTTTTGGCCAGTCATAATCACCATGCATATCCCTCTGTCAGTCTAGCTGTACTTCATATATGTGTTTGGTAATATATATGTGGAGAAAACTTCCAGTCATTTCCTTATCTGTAGTCTGTCTCTTTCTCTGTTTTGTCTTGTTTAAATTGTAAACTCTTTGGCACAGAGACCATGTCTTTCTATGTGTTTATGTAGCGCTCGGTGCAATGGAGCCCCAATCAGAACTGGGCCTGTTCATTGCTACTGTAGTACAATTAATAAATGTCAATTACTTCCGTTTAAATATGAATCATGCTTGGAACACACAGAGAATTGTGTGTGTGTTTGTGAGCGAGCAAATGTAGGCCTGGAGCAGGATGTAAATGGTAGAGCTGGACAAAAATTTTTGGAGAAACAAAAAGAAAAGAAACCAGAACATTTTTTTTGATGTTTTTGGAAATGAAACATTTTGATTATTGGTTTGGAACAACATTTTGTTTCATAATTTCCTTTAATTGTTTTTAATGTGAAAAGTATTGAAATCAGAAACCTTGTTCGATCCAAAACCATTTTTTCTGACTTTTCAATACACTTAAACTTTTAAAAAAATTGTTTTTAGGTCGACCTGATTTTTTTTTCCTAATTTTCTTTAGGAATTGCTAGTGACCTGAAAAGTCAGTTATTTACCTGGATTTAATAAGCAGAGCCTGGCTCTCATGCTGATCCTCTGCCCAAGGGGAATTTCAGCCAATGTCTATGAAATAAGTACATTTTATGGCACACATACTCAGCTGGTGCACTGAGTCCAATGGAGCAACACCAGTTTACACCCAGCTGGGGATTGACTGTAGTGTGGATAGGGCTGATTCACACCAGCTGGGGATTGACTGTAGTGTGGATAGGGCTGATTCACACCAGCTGGGGCTCTGGCCTCATTTACGTCTGTGGGGGCTGTTGATGAACACATGTAGCTGGCTCTAGGTCAGAGGTGAGCAAACTACTGCCCAGCCCGTGGGACCCTCCTGCCCAACCCTACCCTGAGCTCCTGACATGGGAGGCTAACCCCTGGCCCCTCCCCTGCTGTTCAGCCTCCCCTGCAGGCTCAGCTCACAATGCTCTGGGTGGCGGGGCTGTGAGCTCTTGCCGGGCAGCACAGCTGCAGAGCCAGGGCCTGACCCGGTGCTCTGTGCTGCACAGTGGGGTGGCTGGCTGTCCTGGTGCTCTGAGTGGCGCGGCTGTAGCTCCGGTAACCACCGGTGCTCCAGGCAGTGTGATTAGGGGGCAGGGAGCGGGGGGGGGTGTTGGATAGAGGGCAGGGGAGTTCAGAGTGGTGGTCAGGGGACGGGGGTGTGGATAGGGGTTGGGGCGGTCAGAAGGCAGGGAACAGGTGGGTTGAATGGGGGCAGTGGTCCCAGGGGGGGCAGTCAGGAAGGAGGGGGGGTTAGATGAGGCAGTTGGGGGCAGGAGTTCTGGGGGCTGTCAGGGAGAAGGGGTGGTTGGATGGGGCAGGGGTCCCGGGGGGGGCAGTCAGGAATGAGAGATGGGGCGGTAGGGGGCAGGGAGGGATGGATGGGGCAGGGGTTCCCAGGGGGGCCATCCTGGAACAGAGGGGGTTGGATGGGGCGGGAAGCGGGGGGGGGGGTCAGATAGGGGGTTGGGACTGGGCCAAGCCTGGCTGTCTGGGGAGGCACAGCCTCCCCTAAGCGACCCTCCATACAATTTCAGAAACCTGATGTGGCCCTCAGGCCAAAAAGTTTGCCTGCCCCTGCTCTAGGTGAACCCAGGTAATGCAGGCCAGAGGAGATAAATGACTTGATAAACCCTATTATCCTGCATTAGGTAGCTTCAGCTATGGTAAGTAGCCTTGTGGACTCTCCTCACTGATCCTAAATACCCATATAATGATGCTACTAGCTGGGGTCAGCTGTAGCTTTTCAACATGGGACCTCACCTCAGGAGCCTATACTGCCTGAGCTAAAGCATCATTAACTCATGTTACCCCTTTTTGACCCAAGTTGGTAACCAGATTTTGGGGTCCTGTGAGTTGCTTCTACTAGGAAGAGAAATTAATGATAGAGTCAGGTGTTTCTTTGGTGCAATCCTGTTTGTTTGCAAAGAATGTACAAAGCCCTGTTTTCCTGAACACAAGAGGAATCAAACAACAGGAGACAGTTTCTTTGATCACAGCTCAAAGGTCTTTCAGCCAGCACTCTGCCCAAAAGCTCTCCCTTGGCTTTTCACAGGGCCTCCTTTCTTTCTTGCTGCCCTTTATCTCAACTTCTGTGGTTGTTCTGCTGCTTCCCTTCCAGACACACAAACCTTCACAAAACACTAGCCAGCAAAACTTCTCTACAAAGCTCAGATTCTGGATGGGGACATGTACTTTTGTTTTGGGTGGAGGCTGCTATTGTTTCAGTTATTTCATTCTATAAAGGAGCTTCATTGTTTCTTACATTTATCCCAGTTGAAGGGTGGCTACAGTCACCAACTTCACTGAGGTTTTACCCCACCCATAACAACCCAAAAGAAGCAGCAGACTCTCTAGAGGC